CCGTACAAAGTCTTGGAAACGAGCCGAGGTGGCTATTGCAAACTTGCGAAATTAGATGGAGTGGAGGTACCCCGCACCTAGCACTCCTCGAACTTGCGATTGTTCGTAGGATAGGTTGGGCCAGGGTGTCTTACGTTCTATTCTTCATACAAGTTCATCACTAAATAAATGTTCGACTTTGGACCTTCATTACAAAGTTTGTCAATGCCGTGAACCTTCACGCCATTAGTTTGTCAGTTCATTGCAAAGTTTATCAACACCATTTACCTTTTAAGTTTAAGTCCTACATCGGCTAAGTGTCCTGATGGAGGGGCCCTGAATGGTGATGAACGGTAATGGACAAAATGCCTTTAAAGTTTGATGCTCGGCCCAAGAGGTCGGCACATCGTAAATTAGTTCGATGCAGCACGCTAAGACGCTCGACCCGGGAGGTCGGCATGACTGCCTTTAAAATTTTGACGCTCGATCCAGGAGGTCGGCACGCTGGGAATTAGTTTGGTATATTTTGTTAATGCCCTAGTCTGTTGTCCCTGACAATTCAGTTGTTAACTTAAAAGTCTGATAGATGCTCGACCCAAGAGGCCGGCACGCTGCATTGATAGATCTACTTGGTGCTCGACCCGGGAGGTCGGCATACGGCTTTGGGCGCTAGAGCGAAAGCGAGAATTGCCTGCCGAGATTAGATAGCTTCATTCGAATTTCATATATACATTCAAAACATATTTATTACATAGCCTACCGAGCTACAGGGAAAGGAAAGAATATACAGCTCAGCCCCCTGAGACCCCTAAACCACTGGCTCCTTCCCGGAAGCCCTGTCGGGGGCCTCGTCCTCCTCCAGAGGAACCTCTGCCAACTCGGCTCCCACGTCACTCCGACCCACCAGGTCCTTTAGGGCATGCCCCTTGCAGTACCCATCGAAGAGCCAGTCTAGCTTCTCCTCGGCGGCGAGGTTATAATCCTTGAATGCGGCCAAGTCGAAGTCAGGCAGGTTGAGGCCCTTCACCTGGTCCAGGGCCCGCGTGAAGCCGACCTGGAGGATGGGCTGGTTGATGAGGGCCACGTTCTCGGCAAACTGTTCGGAGGAGATGAACTCCCGAACAGCCTTCTTGCGCTCCCGGCTGACAGTGCTGGAGAGCTCGATGACGTGGTCCACCTTCAACTTCTCCACGCCCGTCCTCTCCTGATCCAGCTCTGACCTTATGGAGGCGAGCTGGACTTGGGCCGCCTCCAGCTCCTTCTCGGTCTTGCCTAGTTTGGCCTTAAGGGAGTCTGCCTCCTTAAGGGCCTGGGCAAGTCTCTACTCGGTCTCCCGATTCTTCTTCTGCAACTTCTCCAGATCGGGAGACAGCTCGGAGAAGCGGGTTGGGAGGGCAGCACCGGCGGTGTTGGCCTGAAGGAAGGAAAGGAAAATTAGCACATCGTTAACTCCATCAAGGGAAAGAACAGGGACCCAAGTGGCCTAAGTGGAAGAAGGCTTACCTGGGCCTGGGCGGTATAGTACATGTCCTGGAGCTCGGACGGGTTGGCCAGCTCCATCCACCTCCTGTCGCGTGGAAGGACGGAGCCCGCAACCAACTCGCCAGCCACCTCGGGGAACTGGACTCGGTCATTGATGGAGAGCCCCCAAGATGGGCAGAAGTGACGGGGGTCGTGCATGGTGGGGGCCTGGCCCTGTTTCACGGGGGCCACATGGCGGAAGTGCCACAAGCTCGGGGGAGGCGTCTCCCGTGCGTGCTCTTCAGAGGAGCCAACCCCCAGGTGGGCCGGACCTGCATGGGGGCCTCCCCCCGACGAAAGCAGGAGTGGGGGTTGTGCTGAAGCTGGCGCGAGCTTCTTCCAGGGCTGGGAGGGCTCGTCCCCTTGACCCCTCTTCTGCCAAGTCGCCTTCTTTTTGTTGACGACCTGCTTGGAGCGGGACGGAGAGTGGGACGATTCCTTCGGAGAGGCCGAGCTGCCCCCGAGAGTCGGAGCGGCCTCAGAGGTCTTCTTGGCGGCATCCGGCTGCGGAGTTGGGGCGACCGGCTCGGAAGGCGTGTCCAGTAGCTTGGAAAGCCTCCTCACTACAGCAAACATCGCCAGGTTAGTACAAACAGGTTGGTAAAAAGAAAAAAAAAAAGAGAAGACAACAGACAACAGGAGCACAGAGGCGGCGTTACAGTCGTCATAGTTGGGGGAGAAGTCTCCACTCCTCCAGGGGACCCGGACAATGTCCCCATCAGCCCGGCCGCAGATATCTGTTTAGTGGAGAACCTAGCCGCGTAGAGTTTCACCGTGGAGCTCACCAGCTGGCTGAGGGCCTCGGCGTCCAAGTCCTCTGGGCAGGGGTCGGAAACGACCTCTCCGACCTTCCACACGTTAAGAGGAAAATGTGCGGATTTAATAAAGAAGAAGTCTCCCTTCCAGTTCTTTATGGAAGAGGGGACCCTAAAGAGAACATCCTGGGTGCCCTTCCCACCCCGACCTTTGTTAGCAGTTCGGCGGGAAAAGTAGTACCACCCAGGAAGAGAGAGTTTGAGGGTGTACGAGGCTCAGAAGAGAGAAAGAGAATAAGGGATGAAGCAAATCTGGCAGTAGATCAGGAATCCGATGATGATCCTGATTGAGTTGGGGTGGATCTGGGTAATTCTGAGCTCCCAATAGCTCAGGATCTCGGATAGGGCTGAAGGAATGGGGAGCCGGAACCCTGCGAGCAGCTGCTCCCGATAGATGGCTACGAAACTGGGGGGAGGTCGGCTAACTCGGTCGTCGGGCCTGACAGCCCTTGGCTTGAAGGCCGGAGGTATGGAAAAGAACCTGACCAGCTCGGCAACCCCCTCGGGCGAGATGGTGACCTCTTGTTGGTCAGGCTGACCGTAGTCAAATACGAGGTTATCCCCCTGCTCGGGAGCAGGGGTCCCCTCAGAGGAATCTCTGTCCTCACCTGCCCCCCATTGGGCACCGCCAGGGGAGTCATGTGGGGACTTGGGGGAAGGGACGGAAGTGGCCTGCTGCTCGAGGAAAGCATCGAGCTCGGCCACCTCCTCCAAAACGCGGGCAGAAGGGGAATGGGCGGATAGAGAGTTCATGATGATTATAGGCTTGAACAGGTCGGGATTAGAAGCGGAAGAAGAAAGAGGCGGGAGCGAGGATAAAGATGACAATGGAGGAGCGATAGGAGGAGAGAATGAAGATGAGGATGAGGATGAAGACGAGGAGGAAATGAGGATCCTAAAGGTTCTACGAAATGTGGGGGAAGTAACGCCGGACTGATCCGACATAAAAAACAAGGGGTGATAAGGGTAAAAGAGAGCGAAGGAGGGAGGAAAAGAACTTACTGGTAAATGAAATGGGAAATGATGAAGAAACCGCCGGAATTTGGACACTTTAGGCCGGAAGTGTTGCCGCTGGAACTTTCAGAGAGAAAGGAAATACGCGAGGAAAAAAAAATGGCAAATAGAGTTTGAGAAAATCTGGTAACCCCTATTTATAGGGAGTGAAATGGGGGGAAACGGCTGCCTGAAGTTGAACCGCCCCCATGTGAACGCATTTAAAAAGCAGTACGGAAACCAAAGAGACGTGACAGTCGAAAGGACGCGGGCGCGGCTTTTCAGGGGACAACACTGTGCAGCAGGTAGCCGTGGCAGAGCAGGATGACGCCGGTCTCCCACGAGGCCAGGGGTACTGTGTCAGGAGTGGCCATGGCCGGACAGGACGACGCCGGTCTCCCACGTGGTAGGGGGCATAGATTAGGTCTGTCTAGAAGTCTTACCTAATTTAGGGGGTTAGTGCAGAGACCCTGTCCTGAACCTATACACGTGGCAGCCCATGAAGGCCAGAGTTGGGCTTGGACCCCAGGCCCACGGGAGACATCCTGAGGCACACCGCCGCTAGGGCTCCCCGGGGGTCCAGAGAACAATCCCGCAGAGGGCGGGGGATATCCCCCTCAGCGCGGGATTGAGGCTATACCAGGCAGGTCCCGAAACGTACGGAGGTCGGACTCTTGAGCAGGTATAAATGATAACGCTCCCCAGCGGCATAAGGTACGCTCACCATTGGTCAAAGACCTCCAACAGTTTTATTTCCAGTACATTCCACTCACCGGAAAACTAACTTGACCGTCGGAGTGCCCTTGGGGATTACCTCGGGGCTCCCCTGTCAGTCACCTTATAGTCCACTTCCAGTTTGTTTTGCAGGAGTGGGACACGCTCTGCTCATCAGCACGCCGAGCTCACCAGGTCAACTCGGTCCGGGGAAACTCAGCGCTTCTTCATACTCAAAAGTTAAAAGATTGAATAATAAATTTGTTTTTATCTATCCAAAGTTTAGGGACTAAAACTATTCATGTATCAAAATTTGAATATTAAAATTGCATTTTTTTCAAACCATTTAATGAAACCATAGTTTTGAAAAGTAGTTTCATCAAAAACTTTTTTTTTCATTTTTCTTTTTCTTTTCGTTTTATTTCTCTATTTTTCCATTTTCTTTCTTTTTTCTTTTTCTCTCTTCTTCTTCCCTAAGCTGACCAACAACTATTGCAACTCTGGTGGTGGCGCCACCACCAATGCCCACCACCAAAATCTCACATTCCACCCAATTTTCTGCATAGATCACAATTTCAATATTATATTTTGTGAAAAACACATGAAAAGTGCTCAAATTGGTGATTTACAGTTGGGGTCCCCTTTTCAAAACCCACTTAGATTCCTAAATGACCCTCCTACAATGATAAACTAAAATGGTGATGGTAGCTTTAAAAAGAGGGGGAACAGAAAAAACATAAACTGATGGTGATGAATTCCAAAAAAATAAAAAGTAAAAAAAAAATTACGAATGGTGCTGGAGACCGATTTCTTCAGGGCTGGTGCAGAAAAATAATGACCACAATTCTCTGGGGTGTACACAGAAAGAACAGGAGCAGGGTTCGCACGTGCATACTTTTTCATCATGATGTATGATTTTGGATGCGCTGATGAAGAGCACAGGAAGAAGTGTGAGAAAAAGATTTCGAAACCAAACCCTTCTCATGATAAAAAGAAATTCCTGGTTACTGATCCAAATTTTATTGACTAATTTTGCAATCGTATAAATTACAACCGACTATAAGTTTGCGACTCATTGTGTTCGCAGATCTGAACCTATTTGCAGATCTGAAACTATCAGCAGTTCAGCTCCTTGTGGTAAGTTCGCAGATCTGAACCTATTTGCAGATCTGAAACTATCAGCAGTTCAGCTCCTTGTGGTAAGTTTGCTTCGAGCTGTTTTGCCCGTTCTCTTACTGTTGCAATCCTCTCAGCTCCAAGAAATCCAGGGCCAGGCTTGATAATTATCTTCTCGAGTGACTTAGCAATTTGCAGTAATGCCAATGCAAACCTAAAATCGCTCCTGTAACCAGCAAAATTAATCAACTTGATCACTTTAAGACATGGATGGCCATGAGCAGTAAGATCTGCCTTTGCACGATTGTAGCGACGAAGACCAGTGGCAATCGCCTGAGAGAAGGGAAACGATAATTAGGAAGCATGACTTGATCAAAAAAGGAATTGTAATTGGAGAGTAATATAGGCTGCTTCTGGTAGTTTTTATCCCCAAGATGCACATGGTGGAAGCTCTGGTACCTCTTTAGAAGCCAGCGAGTCATAGAACATCTGCCACAAACAAGGAACCATTTAGTAGACCAGAGAAGATAAACAATAAGAATGAAATAAAGTAAATAACAAACGCAAAACCAGGAAGGAAGGTGATCATTTTATTATCTGTTTTATACTTTGTGCTCGCGCTAAACGTAATTGGAAGTTACATCTGACAAGACCATATTTTACATTGGCAAGTCATGGATTGTTTATAATCTATCAGAAAGATAAACAGAACCACCAACTCGAACTCCTTGGTACATCTGACATTTATCACCACCTTTTGCTATATTTGGTAGACGAGGGACAAGTATGCTTTGCAAGCATCAAGCAAATGCCAAATGATTGCTAAACAAATTTCAGGCAACAAGAGACTTATGCTGCATTTCGAATTCTATATACTAGTTTCATGGACAAAAATAAGTCATAATTAAATGAAATCTCCACCTGCAAGCAGCATAAAACTGGACACTGACTGTAGCCAAAAGAAATCCTAGACCAAAAAACTTCCTATGCATGTCATTCTCTATATGACTAATGCGGCAAAAAATCTAAGCATTGTGTGAATCCGTAACTACATAAAAAATGTAAAGCCACCTTGGTAATAGTTACAGCAATCACAAAGATTATCCCCATCAATCATACTAGCTATAGTTACAGTAAAAGGCGTCACTCAAATCAATAACTAGGTTATCTAGAGAAAGTAAGAACTTCCAACAGTTTGATAGCCACTCTTTTGGGCATCAAACTTACTCCAATCAGTATGATACGCAACAGCTCATACTGGAGTCAAATTCTAAAGTTGCAACTGAGATCCCTTAGGGGCATTATCACAGATCAAAATATCTAATAGAACTAGTGGAGCCTGTAAAACAAGCATTGGAGGATTATTGATCGAGTTCAAAGATATCCGCTTAACTCATTCACAGGTTTCTGTCAATTCAGGCGGAAAGGAGAAATATGTTTTAGACATTTGGACTACTGCACATGATAGTCTCAAAAGATTGAACATTTCTTGACATTGTAGGGGCAACATGTGAAAGGATAACTTGGAACTAGTAGGTAGAATAATATGTGCAAAGCCCCTCAAACCTATCCAGAAAGAAAAACGAAACCATGCTATAACAGATAGCCCACCAAACACCCATCAAACAAGAGTCCAATCTACAAGAAAGCAAACAGCTCTTATCTTAGCTATTCTCTTTAATCTCCAAGAGAATATTGCCTGCTGTAATAAACAATTACTTACTCCATGTTTTCAGCATTTGTTCTGGAAAGTTTTTCACACTATCTGTTCAACTTAAAAGTATGTACAAAATCACATGCAACTAAAAGAATAACAGTGGTAAGACAGATCAGTTTCCCTACAACCGGCCTATGTATGTGAGATAAAGCTCCAAAAAAATTCAGGCTGGGTAATAACATTGAGATGGCAAAACAGTTAGGTAAACATATCCTACTTGGTATTTTGATAAATCCCATCAAATAATACTTTTCGATACTAGGTCAGGCTTTGGGAACCCAAAGGCCATAACAATTTTTAACTATTACAAGGGACGCCATTACCTATATATTCCAACCAAGGGGTTATGCAGATGATGGCTTAAATATTCACGCCTATTGTTTGGCATTTATAAAAACAATAAATTACGTTACCCTTGCCTGAGGTTCGTCCTTTTTTTCCTTCAACTTTAGGTTGGCAGGAAAGTGTTAGCATTAAATTAAAACTAAGAACTTTACTTTTCCTCCTCTTGTTGTTCCACACGCACGCGCGCACAAATGTAAAACAATCACATCAACTAATTTAGGTCAATAATTGTACCAAATTTTGTGTCAACTGTTGCACCGCAAGAGAAGTAATTCTCTTCAATAAGAGAAAATGAAAAAAAGAACACACGCTTTGCATACACACAACAGAAACCTGTCCACTTAAAATTTTAATTTGCCCTGATGAAAAATTAATTAATAACTACAAAACAAGCGCAAAGAAGTTAAGAAGCGGATGTGACAATTGAAAGAACAAATGATCTTAGCTAGAGCTCATATGTTTGAGATGATTCAAGCTGCAAATGAAATACTAACCATGACACCCAAACTAGACAAGAAAGGGCATGCTGTTGTCAACAAGACAAAGAAGAGAAAGCTTTCACCAGCCCTTGCATGAAGGATCAAATCCAGCTGTTTGAGACATTGCAATTGAGGAAGTCCAAATAAAGAATGATCATGCCTCGGTGCAGAAACAACGTCCTAGTAAGATGTTTTACATTGAACAGTTAACAACAATTATCATGAGCAGCAATAGACAAGATAAGTAAACAATGGAAAAGGCTAGTCATTTCCTAACCAGCATGGGCACATTCAAGACAAGCCTCTGCAACTGATGACTGTATTTTGAATGCTCCGAAGGCTCAAATAAAAATGATCCACAATGCGGTCCCTTCAACTGAAGCTCTGATAGGAGAGGAACATTCTGAAGTTGAAGTTTCAATACAGGTGACATAGATGCTTCCCCGTACACAAAAGACAGAAGATTTGCAGCAGAAATTGTCAAACTTTTCAATTTTGTGCAATAGAATATACTCAAGGACTTTAAAGATGAACTAAGAACATTCAGTTTCTTCATATAATTATCAAACTTTATACAGAGATGTTCAAGATGTCGACAACTGGATAAAAGATACTCAATCATCTCATCCTTGACGTTCACATCGACCAGGCTCAAGGATGTCAACGAGGTGAGACCAATTCGATCCACGCTAGGCTTCACTTCCCTTGAAATCGACAAAAACTTGTTGAGGTCAGGAAAATCATGACATGATATGTCCAAGTCAAAAACCTTTACTTCCTTTTCCATTGCGAAACGAATCCAATCACAAATACGGTTAGGACTCTCATCAGTTATTCCTTGGCAGTGTACAATAAACTTATCTAAAGATGGCCCCTGATGCAATTTGACAACTTGATCCACCCAGCTTAGAAAAACAGTTGGTTCTACCCAGGTACCCGGGTTTCCATCCCATTGGTTAAGAAATTCGAGACTGCAAGAAGTAAACCGCCATAAATATCTCCACCTGCGTGAAATGATGCTGGTCCTCACTGCTTCCTTGAGATTCAAACAGGACAGAATGACAATCAGGATCTCATCCGGCAATCTATCCATCCCGTATGCCACCAAACCGTGTTTCTTCACATGAAAATCATACAACAGCAAATTCAGATGAGTAAAAATCAAAATTTTACTTGATATTCAGACTGCAACAAACAGAACTCTTCACATGAAAATCATACAACAGCAAATTCAGATGAGTAAAAATCAAAACTTTACTTGATATTCAGACTGCAACAAACAGAACGCTTCTGCCCTATTTCAAACAAAAACATGGTAAGCTAATGCTAACGCCTCTACTTCAGCCCAAGTTTTTCATTCTGAGACGAGAAAGTTCCTAGCTTCAATCCAGCCATCCTAAAACAATTAAGCTATCTTCAGAATGCTAACTAAGCCTTTAGTCGGAAAATTTTTCATTTTCAGTCGGATTTAAAAAAAAAATATTTTTGGTGGCCTTTTGAATAGCAAATAGAACAAATAATGAAAAAACATATATCGCATTACCAAAAAATAAAAAAAACAGTAAATATAAAGAGCAAATATGGAAGAAGAGATCAATGGAAGGTTGTATAAATTGCCGTTGATCGTAATCCAGATGATTCAAAAATAATCAAGAGATGGAGTGTAGGGGCTAGTTATACTCGATGACTAAAACTTCTAACAACCAAACAAAGATAACAAATCTATCCTGGATTTCTCAAAATTTATCAGAAACACCCCTACCAAAGAACGAGGGGAATAGGAAAAAAAAGACATTCGATGCTCAATTTTGGTAAATATGCTATATATATATATATATATATATATATATATATATATATATTTTACATGCTTCTAAAAGGCTTAGAAGAACAACTTTTAACAGCAGATAGATGGATAGATTCCAAACCTTTCCTCTTTTGGTGACGGTGGAAAGCTCAAGGGCATTGCATCTAGACAGAGGACGAGGAGGAGACGGAGAAGTCATCATGATTTGTGTGGTCTAACAAGTCAGCTGAAGAATTTAAAACCGGAATATCGTAAAACATTCGAAAGTGATATATTAAGCGGAACTCCGGAACCAAATTGGATTAAGCAGAACTCCGGAACCAAATTGGAAATTCAACGTGCAAGAGAAATTTCAATCTGGTTGATTTTCTCTTCTGGGCCTATGGGCCTCGTACCATCTGGCAGCGTCTACTTATTGTTATGGGATAATTGCAGAAACCTCCTCTGTGGTTTTTGACACTTGCACTGACCTCCCCTGTAGTTTGAAAAATTGCACTGACCTCCCCTGAACTTACTAATTCTTTGCAAATTCAGTCCAAACGATTAAAATATTATTTTAGGGAGTGAAATGAGAATTTTGTACTAGATTTATCCTTTGTGCTAAATGTCCGATGAATGACAAAGTACTACAAATCAATTAATAATTAATAAACTTTAAGGGGTGTAGTTTATGGGCAAAATGCATTACCCATTTAAAATACTGGGTCTTTATGGATATTTTACTTTCAAACATTTAATTTATGATAAATATATCAACGTTTGTAAGTAAAATTCAAAAAGTGTTACAGTAATATTTTTACAAAAAGGAAATCGGTAGGTTATCTATTTAATATAAATTAAATATTTTTTAAAAAAAGAAATGACCCAGAAATTATTAATTCTTTATGGCTTTCATCCATTAGATGAGTAAAGTATTGGCTCTTTATGGGCATTTTATTCTAAATCATTTAATTTATGTTAAATACATAAATGTTTGTAACTAAAATTGAAAAAGTGTTACATTAATATTTTTACAAAACCTACTAGTTTCCCTTCTGTAAAAATATTAATGTAACACTTTTTCAATTTTTGTTACAAACATTTATGTATTTAACATAAATCAAATAATTCATAATAAAATGCCTATAAAGAGCCAATACTTTACTCATCTAATGGATGAAAGTCATAAAGAATTAATACTTTATGGGTCATTTCTTTTTTAAAAAAATATTTAATTTATATTAAATAGATAACCTACCGATTTTCTTTTTGTAAGAATATTACTATAACACTTTTTGAATTTTACTTACAAACATTGATATATTTATCATAAATTAAATGTTTGAAAGCAAAATATCCATAAAGAGCCGTTACTTTAAAAATATCTAATTTATATTAAATAAATAACCTATCGATTTCCTTTTTGTAAGGATATAACTGTAACACTTTTTGAATTTTACTCACATACATTGATATTAACGGCTGAAATTGGACAAAACCATCATCTAGTTTTGTGAAAGCAAATTTAATTTATGTCGTCTTCAGGGAAGTTTCATTAGAGTTAACGGCTGAAATTGGACAAAACTATCATCTAGTTTTGTGAAAGCAAATTTCAATGGGGCTGCATTCCACAAAGAAGGCTTCTCAGGCGTTCGAGTGATGACAGGGAACATTCTTAGCTGGATCATTGAAGAAACTTGTTGGGAGTTTTTGAGCCTGATGTCATGGAATCTTATGCAGCAAAATTTGCTCTCAAGTTACTGCTAGAGTCCCATTAATGATTAATTCTCATCTGCCCACCCATTCTATGGGAATAATGGGACATAACAGAAATAAAAATGGGGATTCTGACCGCAGATACAAACTACCTAGGCATAAAACTAAAGAAGTCCAGATTAAGCTGTTCCTTTTTTTTTATATATATTTCAACCAAACCTATATTAACATTAAGAGACTTAATTCTATTGAGTTTGAGTCAACTTTATATTCGAATTCAGAAATCCATAGAACTATTAATATATAATTAGACTACCCCATTTATGAGATAAAGAATAATAGATAGAATCATTGAAAATTTCAATTTTGATAAAATAGAAAATAGATATGGGACGGACGGTTTTTTTTAATAACTAACTTCTCTAAATTATGAAGATTTTGAACATATGATGAAAGATTACCCGCTCTTTTTTAATTTGAGTTCAAGCGTATGGAATCTATATTCCCATCTTACCCAGATCCTAAATAGATTAATATATACATGTGTTAAAGCTGTGTAAAATCAATCTGGAAGGAGATTCTCTAAGACTAATTAAAGTGATCTATCATTTAGAATCTGATGATTAGTCATAGTTTTACACGCTAGTGAAAATTTACGACAAGGTTTAGTAGGTTGCTCGAGCATGCATGATGATAGATCGATTTCAAAATGTTGCAAAAGCCACAGTAAGTTTTGCATCAAAGAAAGCTAAAAAGCAAATTCTCTATCCACAACCCAAAATGAGCAGACACATCCCAAAAAAAAAAAAAAAACACAACGAGACGCTGTAGGATGGATTGTGAAAACGCCAGACATCTTCAAGAGCTCCATTTCTCCAGTATTTTGGGTCATTGAAACAGAACTAAAGACAAAAAACCACAAAAAAAAAAAAGTTCCAAGGTAAATTACGCAAACAGAAACAATCAAAGGCTTGTTGGGCTGTTCACTTCTGTAACAGTCTTTAAGTGCATTTATGGGGTAGAAGATTTTGGATTTCTATCATTGTCTCCCATCAATTGTCACTACATGTGACTTCTTCTAAAATCCAGTCGATCCTTCTTAGTTTGGTTTGATGATGGTTCAATCCTCGTCAGTTTAAAGGATTTAGTTGGATTGGTTCCACTTCCCCCAAGCTGATGTATGACCTAAACATTAAAAAAAAAAAAAAGTTAAACGGAAACGGATTACAATTAGATTCAATAATGTTGACATTAGTACTTGTCTTGAAACAACAGGACAAATACCATGTACTAGACACAGATTCTCATCCCAAACAAAAAACCCAAAAAAAAAAAAAAAAGCCAAAGAAGTTCGTTCAACCAAGATCAATTTTATGCTGTGCCGAGCTTATTTGTGTCCTGAAAATTTCAGAGGACGAACAACATTGTAGGAATCTTGAAACTACACCGGAGAATAGGCCTGAAAAGATTTTACCTGTTCTGCTGCGCTTTTGTGGTGGATTCAGCATTTTTATCAAGTGAAGGACAATTTCTTTCAATGTATAGCTCTCCTTCCTTCCGCGAAATTCCATAGCTCAGGCGTGATTCTTCGGCCACTGGGATTGCATTCGTTCATCTCTTTCAAGGCTGTCACAACAGCAGCGTATGCTTCACCTCCCCATTCCATTTGCAGATCCACAAGGGCCTCGTCCTCTTCGTCCAGAATTTCCTGTACAAATAAATTATTACTCTCTTTTACAAATGAAAAAATGAATTGGACCAATATCAAATGAAACAACTTCAAACAAATCCATCCACTCGTTAAATTTGATGAAATTAAATAATAAAAAATTGAGGAAATTCAAGATAGAAGAGCTCAATGGTTTTACTGTATCACCAACAATTCGAAACGGATGCCACTCTGGGTTTTCTATTTTGCTTTGCCATAAGCTACAAAGTCGAGCTGCCTCTATGAAACTCTCAGCAGTTGTGAATTTTCTTTGGACAGCAATCTGCAATGGAAGTATATCAATCTCTCCCAACCTTTTGATGCGAATATCGCTTTGATCATCAAGAAAATGAGCCAAACTCTGGAGAAAAATGAATACATAAATACCAATCAAAGAATATACAGCATGGCTACATTTCTAAAAATGCCAATTTGTAGAGGGAATAGACTCAAACTAACCACAATCAACTCTTTTCGAGCTTCTGTTGACTCGTCATTGGTCGCGCGCTCTTTCACTATTAGATGTTGATTCAGTGTTTGAAGATCATTGACTTCTTCAACTCGCTGCAGGAGCTCCTCTTGAGTTTGTTTCATCTTTTCTTCATCTTCATGTGCAAAACGTCGAAGGACGCATATAGCATGTTGATAGGAATTAGCTTCGACATCTTTAGTATTGAGCTGCCCTTTTAGCTCGCTCATTTTACGTAGTTCAGCCTCAACCTTTTTCTGCAGATACACCTCAAGTTCAGTTAGATGCATGAAATTCTACCATAGACTCATCATATAGACAGATGACAAGCTATGTTATTCTGACTCGGACGCGGGTAAGACATGGCAAATTGAAGTGTCAAGAGCAACATAGATGACAACTATGCACACAGCTTTGGAAATTGTGATAATTGACTATTGGAAATTTGGTCTTAGTTGTGATTATTAATAAGTAAGCACACACCTTTTGATCTTCAACCAATTTTAAGACTTTCCCAGCAGTTGCTAGCTGCTTAACACAGACATTATAGAGTGGATCGTCTGCTGAATTATCCTGGGAGATAAGAAAAAATTTACTAGCTTTTGAAAGCCAAATTTATCTTAATATGAAATTGAAAGGCCAAAATTTCATTGACAATTAGGGGACACTACTAAGCAAGCACAAACCTCTTGCTCTTCAACCAATTTTAGAATCAGCCCAGCAGTTGCTAATTGTTGAATACAGGCAAGTTCAAGTGGATCATTTGCTGGATTATCCTGGAAGGATTAGAAAAGTTACTACGCTTTGAAAACCATTCATCATAAAAAGGCATTAACCATGATTTTCTACCAAAAAAGGGGAAGACGAAAAGGCGTGAGCAAGATTTTCATAATGAAAGCTAGTAGATTTAGCACTTACGCAGGAAACAGCATCTTGAGACATTTGGAATAGCAAGTCTTTAGCATGCAGAAACCAAAGCTAGGAAGATTTGAAAAAAAGAGGGAGAAATCTTTAAGTTGAAGATAATACTCCCTAGAGTCCTATTTATAGGCATATTTCACAATTTAATTCTTCGTATTTAGCTACTTTTATGTTTAATGCTACAAATACTGCATTTAATTTCTTGTAATCCCAACTCAAGAAAGTTGAGACGATACATAAGGGTAAATTTGGAAAAAAAATTCATAAATGCTTTCTTGATAGTATAATAAAAGGACAGATAAAAAAAAGAACACCGGGTTGGAGTCATTTAACTAATTTACAGTTAATCAAATTTGTATAGGGTTTATCACACTTTGCCCCCAAAGACTTGGAGGTAATCTCACTTTGCGCTCTCATCCAAAAGATTATACATTTTGTTCCTTCAAGACTAGTTAAAGGTTGAGTTTGTGTCATCAAAAAAATTAATATAATGAGTAAATTGTCCATTTTGCACCTATCAATGAGCAAAAAAAAACTTCGGTTGTTTAGTCAATACCCTTTTTAGAGTCAAATAACATTTTGTCCCCTTTTCGGTTTTAATCGCACATTATGTATTGAGGTACTATAATTATTTAACTTCATAATACATTTTAATTTAAAACTCTAAAGTGGTTAAATAAAAAATATAATTCATTGTAGGAAAGATACACATTTTTTTAAATATAATGCTTGACTTCAATAATAGGTAAACTAGTACTAGTTTATATTTGGACTCGTATTGCTAGTTGTGTGACTTGTGTCATAATAAGTTTTCAAATTTGTTTAAGTGTTTTGCTTTAACAGATACATCCTTTCTTAGTTAGAAGCAAATATTTTTAAGTATTAAAACATGTTCATTTAATATAATCAAAACCACATAATTGTTAGTTTATGTTTAACTTCCATTCATCATTATCTCTTGTTTACATAAATTTTGACAAAGTGCTTCCAAAATATTTATCAATAAAATTTTAATTCATACCAAATTTATTGATTTCTTACATAAATCATTTTTTTAGTTTTTTAGGGTCAAATATTGTAATGTTAATATAAATATTTCAAAAGATATTAGAGAAAATGAAGTTACCTATACTTGATGTGAAACAAAATAATTTATTGAAGCCGCTAATTTTATCTCAAAAAAAATCAGAGAATTAAATTCAAAGAACTATCGAAATCAAAGTGAACTTATAGAAAGTTTCTTCTAAAAAACTATATGAGATTTTTTTTGTCAATAATATTTGGAAATAAAGTATAATAATTTTAAGCATTATACATTATAATTTTATAGCCGATTTATGCATATTCAAAAAATAATACTAATTAAAGGAAAGTGAATCTATTTTGGTTGATGGGAATAAAATGAGACAATGCCCTAACTCAAGGGGACAAAGTATAATCAATGCTCAAGGTAAAGTTAGACATAAAAGATTTCGTTTCAAAACCTATCTGTTTGCTATAGAGTTTAGGGATAATTTCAGAAACCTCCCTTGAGGTCTTTAGCAATTTCACTTAATTCTCTTAAGATTTAAAAAATTACATATGCCTCCCCCGAGTTTATAGTTTTTGTAACAAAAACTATTTAATGGTCAAAATTTTGAATGAATAACCCAAAATGCCCTCATAAAATTATGAAATTCATTTTACTTTTTTATAAAATGATTCAAAAACTATGGAACATGCACAAAATCTCAAACTCATTTTCAACCCTCATCTCTATTATTTTCAACCTTTCATATTACCACATTTCAAACTAGTACCATTAGCACCATGACTATTACTACCATCAATTCCTAAATTCTAAAACCTCAATCAAAATTTAAAAAATTTGCATTGTTAAACTCAAAAAATTTTAATAACCATATCAATATAACATCCTATCCCTCAAATATTGGAGTATCAATACTAGCCCTATTCTTTTTAAACCCAATTTACATCTTTTTCTATTCATCTCCAGATTCTCCAAACAAAGCTAAAATTAATTTTTAATATGTTATTATTGTATTTAGAACATGATCCGTTTATTCGATGAGCGGATTTTTTTTTGTTTCCATTAAATGTCTAATTATGTAATGCATTCATATGAACAAGATTAGGAGTGAATTGTTTAATTGCATGAAAAAATATTAATATGTTAAGGATATTATGGTCATTTTGTAGGATCAAGGGAGGCATGCGTAATATTAAAAACTTCAAGGGTACTAGGTGAAATTGTCAAAAACCTCGAGGGAGGTTTCTGAAATTATCCCTAGAGTTTATACACACAATTCTTGTATACGTCACACAGGGGAAAAAAAAAACCACTAGGGGTATGTTTGTTTGGACTGAAAATATTTTCCCGAAAAAGTTTTCTAGAATTTCTGGTGTTTGGAAGCAAAAGAGGTTGGAAAATGATTTCAGCTGGAAAATGTTTTCATGCCACCAAGTGGAAAATGACTTCCACAACAACTTTCCTGAAGTTAATTTCCGATAACCAGATAACCCGCTCCCAGTGCTAGAGAATCACCAGCAGCAGAATCATATTAGTCACAATATCAGTGGGTATTCCACTGGAATTCTTAAAAACTTTGGTTGAACATAATTTGCCGAGCAATTTGAATTGATAAATAACAAGTATCTGCACTCAACCTACAAACTAAAGTATTGCTGTAGAAGTACTGAATTATGACATCAAACCTCGTGCTATAACACATAGCGACCTATCTGCTCTTCTCCCTTGAACCCATGAAAGATCAGACAACAAGAATAAAATCAACAGCTCTAGTCGGATTTGCATTCATCTCAAAAATATTCCAGACATTTTCCTTTCTCCTTTCTACTAATTAGAAGTAACTTAAGGCAAGTAAACAACGCTGCAAGAATATCAAACTGTCCTACACTATTCTAATTCAATTGCTAATATGTTTTATGTGATAATCAAGTCTAATGTGAAAGATTGCATTTGTGTCAGGTGGTGGTGGTGGGATTTGACAATTTAGTTCTTTTAGGATTACAAGTGTCTTTTTTCTATGAATGATCGAAAGAACTACTTTAATTTAAGTAATGAATATTAATTAAATTTTGAGACGAAAGAATTCATTTTTTTTAAATATTAAAATATCCAATATTGTTAGTTTGATCTAGATCTATCCTAATTCCACCCTGTATTCGAGTTGGGAAATTTAAGAATTCATGGTGTAATATGAATAAATATTTTATAAAAATGATAATATGATTATAATTGATAGAAACTAAAATTAACTTGTAATGAAATGAATGTTTTGAGAGTAGAAAAATATTTGCAATATATCAACAAACATATCAGAAAATATTTTCATTGACAAACCAAACACCTGAAAATTATGAAAAAAGGAATTCGGAAAATATTTTCACTTAATAACCAAACACTGGAAAATTATGGGGAAGGAAGTGATTTTTCAAGAAAATGATTTCGATGGAAAATATTTTCCTAGGGAAAATATTTTCAGTCCAACCAAACGGACCCTAGACGTCCTTCAACAAAATTAGGCATTAAACTTTGGAGGTTATTTAGGTAATTCTATGATGGTATGTTCATGTCATATAAGGAAACGAAAGAGTTGGTGTTTTTGATTGAGAAAATTTATATGATAAGAGAGGAGTTAATGCAAATGAACATTCAGAAGGGCTGAGTGATCAAAGCATATCTTGGGTTTTGTGTGTGGATTAGTAATCGACGAATATTAACGCTGGCTCTCTCAATTCCCCACTCTCCATTCCGAATTACGACAAGTCTTCACTCTTTCCAAATCGCTTCCGCATGAGTCTTCATTCCGCTTTCAAGTGAATTATTACTGAGATAGAAAGCGGAAAGTCATGACGGTTCAGGCTTACATTTCCAACATTGCCCTCCTTCGGCGGTAGTCCCCTAGACTCTCTTTCCAATGATCACCCCCAATCCCAATATTTTAATACTTATATATTTTTTTTAAAAAAAGGGAAGAACTGTGACCAGCACTTTATGGTTTAGATTGACATAAAGCTTAAATCTTGTTTGGATTACTATTTTTAAGAGTTTTTATACAAAAATGTACTGTAACAATTTAATGAATATGAAATAAAAAGTTAATTGCAAAATATATTCATGAAAAACATAAAATGTGTTTTACAAAAAATCACAACCCAAACTCATGGTTTTCATTGAATTAGTCCAAACATTCAAGTTTTCTCAGAAAATCACTATTATACACAACCGTTGAACCACTGGGAAAAAACTAGGAATTTCATATTATTCAAAGAAAAAAAAGGACTCGGAGAAACGAGTTTCCAAGTGGAACCCAAGTGAGCTCATATATGAAAATCACAAATTTTTTAGAGTAAATAGCAAAAATGATTACTAAACTATCTAAAATAGCACGATCTAATCATCAAACTTTTTTTTTTTTGTTAAAAAGATCACTCAACTCTTCAAAGCGAACCTTTTAGGTCATTCATCTAATTTAACTAATAACCCAATCGGAAAAAAAGCACATTTGACTTGCTATTGTTGATTTTTAGGAGCAAAAATGTCATGAAATTGAGGTAATTTCCAATTGATTTAGTAGAGAATGACTCAAAAAGCCTATTTTAAAAGGTTGAGTGGCTTTTTAAATTATTTAGTAACCATTCTCGTCATTTACTCGCATTTTTATATAACCACGCATGCATTCCTCCAGTTGATAAGTTGATTATAGAGCGACCAAGAAAGGCTCATGCCACTAAGAAGTTTGATGATTTTAGAGAAAATGAAGGTTGCGAAGGCGTGGATTTGATAGCAACGTACGAAACGGGTTTCTCTCTGTATCGAGAGTAGACTGTGAAATGCTTTGCATCAAAATGAATAAAGAGTAGGCGATAGATAATTGTTCCATTGGGCCAAAAGATGATATTCTTGGATTGGACTTTAGATATTGAGATTTGAACTGGCTTGGGCTTGTTCTCAACATGTAAATATGTAAACCCGGTCCATGATGTGCGGTCCAAAG